AACCTTGTTGATTCAGTTTCTCATCCGAAGGGTCTTGCTCGCTCGCCTTAGCAGTTCCAGTTTGACGGAAGCATTTCAAACGATCAATAAATGTATCACGTGGATCAGACTTTCCCACTGTCAATCATTGTGTCATATAAAAGTGGTGACCTTTTATTCGTGTCTGACCGCTATTGTTCATACTCTGTGCTTCTCCGGTCTTGTCTGTCTGTTATTCTGCCCTCATTTCCTTTCTTACTATGAACAGTTCATGGAACAAACTCATCGCACGTAAAGATTCGATTTCTATCCAAGTTAACTTTTTATATCTTCACATTCTGTCCTTTTCCCATTCCTCTGCTGAACTGGCCTGACATACCAGCAGTTCATTGGTTAAATTCCACCCGCCCACTCACCCACCCCAATAATGTTCATTTATTTTCCATTGTTTTTCAGCTACATCACACTCCATTTCTGATTGATACGATACTACTACTACTACTACTACTACTACTACTACTACTACTACTTCTACTACTACTACTACTACTACTACTACTACTACTACTACCTGTAGTAGTAGTAGTAGTAGTAGTTGCTACCATAACTCACTAGAAAATCTTGAAAACACTTACTTCCCGAAAGCTGCTCATCAGTGAAAAAAATATCTATGGCAAACCCCAAAGTATTTCAACAATCTGAAAGTGTATCACATCACATCAAGATAATACCTCGTGACGAATACACCTTAAATGTAGTGGCATCGTCAGCGATAGACTTGCAAACTCTATCATAGATAGACACCCACAAACATTTGAAAAGTTTATTTCCAAAATACTCTGAAACACTCACCGCTTATTGCACAATGAAATTTCAAAAACTTTATCTACATCATCCACACGCTCAAGGTTCAAACTTTTATTTGCACATACCTCTTCATATCGTAATTCTGTTTTGCGGTATCTCGCACGTGTACTTTTGACAGGGGAGACAGTTTCCACAGAACTGTGCAGTTGCGTGCTTCATTGAAAAATATTGTCTACTAGTTTTAACTTCATTTTGTATGATTTGTTTTTAAATTTTCATCCATAAATATGAGGTGTGAAATGCTGGAAATTCGCCCATCCGGGTACATAAAGATACTACTGGCTTGATTTGATTTGAGCCTATTTCGCAATTTATCGAGGCTTATAAACTGAACAGTAAGTCGAATTTTCTAAGGATGGTTCACTGTGGAACATATTTTCCATGTAAATGAAATTTCTCTGAACTCCCTTTGCACACGTTTTGGACCTGGAGGTGGAAGGTGAGTTTTTCTAGGGAAAACTATTTTATGGACAACATTTCAGGTCCACCAGCGGCCACATACGGGGAGAGGTGGCGCAAGGGATTGGGGGTGGGTGAAAGACGATCAGTAACAAATCAAGCAGGTTAGACGAAGTAATGATCAGGTGTGATGAGAATATTGTATAAATAAATGACTGGATTGGACTGGTATTCAATTATGCAATAGGAGAAATAGACCCAAGGGACTTGGTGTTCCCGTTCATCAGCTCGACCGCTTCAGGTTCGTCCTGGCTGGCTGGTTGGCTATCTGAGATAGAGAATCACATGCACCGAGCGGAGATAAGGACGAAGCAATTTCAGAAATGGAGGAAGAGAACTGTTAAATTTATTCCGCATTGAAACTAAAAACCGAGAGAATTCGAGACACACGGAGGACAAATGGGGGATTGGGGGTTGGCAGGGTAAACTCGGGGTGAACATCTATGAACTGTCTCTGACAGATTGCGTTTATGAGTGACAAACAATTTGTTTTACCAATTTTTTAGGTCTCTGAAAGCTAATTTTATTCCTCGAGTTCGCTTCATTTACTATACATTTTAGGACACTTAAGATTTGACGGTGACAGAAATGTTCGATTTTTTCACGTAGTTTACCATATCAGGTTGTGGTCAATTATACTTGCCTCACACATCTAGATAACATCTACGATCTGTTTAGGTGATTGTGGTGGCGGGGATGATGATGATGATGATGATGATTCGGATGATGATGATGATGATGATGATTCGGATGATGATGATGATAGTGGTAATGAGGACGACTCGGATGACGAGTTCGATGACTTGAATGATTACAATGACTCCCATTATTATTATTATTATTATTATTATTATTATTATTATTATTATTGAATTTTTGAAGCCCGTGATGCAATGTTGATACTCGCCGCTCTTTTATGTAAACTGGTTTTGGAAGCACCATTCAACCACTGTATTCTACTTCACTGATCTTATTTATCGACTGCAACGTTCAGCGTTGATTGTGCTTTTAGCCCGGGTTAATGATTTGTTGGGACGCCTCCTCGGTTCATCGTGACTCCCAACACGTAATCCAACCAGAGGTTAGAGTTTATTATTCTAGGTCTATGATTACGGTAAGTTCGAGTCCATAATCATAGACCTAGAATAATAAACTCTAACCTCTGGTTG